TGTCGGCAGCTCTGACGCTGCAGCATGACCCTGAGCCAGCTGTCGGCAGCTCTGACGCTGCAGCATGACCCTGAGCCAGCTGTCGGCAGCTCTGATGCTGCTGCAGTCTTCTTTCTTTCCTTGACATGACTTTTCGTTCATGCTGCAACAACAGGAAATTCTTACCATTTCTTGTAAGTTCAATTTGTATAGTTTTCTTTCTTTGCTTATTTTCAGCATTTTTAGAGGAAAAAATTCTGACAATTACTACATTTCTATTTTAAAATGTTTCCTTTTATCCTTAATATTTCACAATATGGTTTCTATTTGATGGGACGTTACCAATGATCACGAGGAAAGCAATGGGAAAGACAGGGAGCTCCAACAAGGTCCATTACTGCGTCATAATCTGTCTTCACACAGATCAGACCCAGACAAGCATAACCCTCAAGGCCTTTCCTCACAAAGACTGTTCTGACTGTACATATTAATATAAGACACTGTTTCAGAAAACAGAAATCTGATAAACTAGACCAGCACCTGTCAAGGGCCCAGCATAGAACGCTGTCTGAGTCTTCTGTCCGCAGACACTGAAACTGATACGCCTGAACTAACAGAGCATGTGCTTCCAAAAAAATTCTTTGAAACCCTCACTAATGAAAGCAATAAAAACTACTAGTAAAAATATTGTTAGTGATTTATTTTATTGTGTACTTTCAATCCTGTAATAATATTTCTATACAATGCTTTCACTGACTTGTAAAAGTTGACAAGGAGGCAGGCTGCCATGTGAATCAGCTCTGGCTTAAAAGTCAAACTGAACAATCTTGTTCAGAACAGTTGTGATTGTTCTGAAAACTGAACAATCACAACTTTCAGGTTGTAAGTAATTTTTGAGGTACACTTACTAGTTAAGAACACCTGTGAGCAAGCACAAGTACTCCTCCTATTTACTAGGATGAGTGATCCTATGTATCCTTTTTTAAAGGATACATATCGCTTTATGTTACTTCATAAGTTCTTAAAATGTTACATAAATTTCTAAGTTATTTTTAAAACACAATAAAAATTAAGCCCAAAGCTGCCATAATTTATAAGATCACTGGTGTTTTCATTGTAATATAATATGACTTATTGTCTTGCTGAATCTAATTATCCTCTCAGTTCTTAGGGGCATACAAAATACACAAATAAATGTTGACATACAAGAGAAAACGAATTTGAGTATGTGTATATGTGTTTATCAGTAAATACACAAAGACTGAGGGAAAGAAAAGGCCAAGCTGTCACAGGCCTCTGGAGATATCTAAGTGGAGGTATTTTCTACCTAAGCCGGGAACTACCAGGGAACGGCAGTACAACAACAGAGCGTCTATTACAACGGTAGCTCAACAGGAAACTGGGCAGGAGAACAATGAAGCCTGACCTCACATCATCATAGCTTTTGAATTTTACGGAGTTAAGCTCTTAATTCCTATTACTGTTCATCTGATAAAGAATAATATTCTGTGTCTGTGCTATTTTCAACGTAATCTGTATTTGTTAAAATAAATATCCAAAGCACTTATGCCTTTTTTAAAAGACAGAACACATGCAGTATTAGTCAACTAAACACATTTTAGAATAAAATCAACTTAATGATCTTTTTTTAATAGACAAAAAAGTCTTACAGCATGCAAAAACTTACCAGTCCAAGTTTTCATTGCCCTGCCTCATATTTAGTACATGTGATGGGTCTGACAATGATCATCAGTAGCCTAGGACAGCACAATATTACTACTATAAGTCATAAGTAACAGGACGATTGGAGCAAAACTCTCATTTTCAGTTTTCTAGAACCTACCTCCAGGCCTCCCTAAGTCCCTAATTCCTTTCAGCTCTTAGCTCTACATCACTAGATCGGATGATCACACTCAAAAATGTATTACATCCGTTAAACTACCTGATTGGCTGCAAAAACTGGAGCAGTTTCTTTAGGGGTCTTCCAAACAAACTGCCTTTGATATTCAGAATTTCTCAAGGCATTTTGTGAAGGAACGACAGTCAATCCAGCTTTTTTACGTAGAACTCTATCCAACTGTTAGGGGAAAAAAAAAATATCCACTCAAAGCCATTAAAAATTTCTATTCAAACTTTAATCGTGGTAAAAAACACAGAACATGAAACCTACCGTCTTAACAAACTTTTAAGTACACACTACAGTATTGTTAACTGTATGCATATTATTGTACAGGAAAACTTTTTTCAACTTACAAATCAGCAGTTCTCAACCTGTGGGTCGCAACCCCTTTTTAACAATGAAAACACACAGCAGCATTAGGAAGGTTGAGAACCAGTTATAAATAATCTTTTTAAAGTGTCTATTTAAAATTCCTCCGTGTCAAGGGACTGTTAAGCATCCCAGGAAAAGATAATATTGCAGGCCCTTCGTATGGTCAGTCATATTGACACCTGTTACCAAGACCTCAGTGCCTGCCTTGTGTACACACTGCTTCCTGGACACGTATCCCTGCCCACCAGACTCACACATCACCTCCTCGATTGCCCTGTCCTGCTGGCTTTCCCAGCAAGCTGTGGATTCTTCTCCAACACTCCAAAATGCCTCTCCAGGGCTCCCGTCACTGGTGGACCCGAAATGGGGACAAAACAGTGGAGTGGAGAAGGAAACACGGGCAGCAGAGACCCACACAGGTCTCTGTTGCCCGGTTTATGTGCTCGCAGGGACCTGCCACAGGCCAGTGGGACACAAGAGAACAGAACTGCAAGACCTTTGAGAGCCAGCCAGACTCTCTTTCCTTTCGCATTCTGTCAACTGAGATCTGTTTGTGTTCTTACTGGTACACAATAAGAAACTGAAAAAGGGCTAAGCAGAAGCCAGCTTGGACCCGTGCCAGAAGTAAGGGCTACTCTCCCTCCTCTGTCTCAACTTGAGCTCTCCCTGAGGACTCAGGGGGAGGGTCCTGAGAGATGATGAATAAAATCCAGATGCAGGAGGTCCACCAGGGAAGGGATATCTTAGTATAACTAGCAAAAACAGCAAGTATTAAGAACAGAACTAATTTACAATAACTAAACAGCTTATCAACTATTCTATAGACATTGACAAGAAAACAACAGTGGAAAACCTTAAACACGAATGTAGTATTACTGAAGTGATGGTGAAACCTACATGAATTCTATGCTTTCGACAATAATTATAATGAATATGCCTACCCCATTATCTACATTTTCTGAATGAACCTTCGTAGAATGTTCCAATTCCGCCTTTTCATTAACTGGTGCACGGTTTGTTATTACATTCTCATTATTTTCTACAACATCTGAAGTCCCTTCAGCTCTGGAGTCCGTAGAGTGGGATCTGGTTCTTTTGGGAACCCTGGAGGCTTCTAGTGAGAGAACTCTTTCTTGGGTAACATCTTTTTGTTCTGCCTCTTGTGATTTGAGTGTTTCCAGGGCTTCAGGCTCTGATGAGACAACCACACCTTTCTTTGCGATAGCTCCATTCCAGTGAAGAGATTTGGAAATCTGTGGGTCATAGTAAGGGACTCTTCTTTTTGAAATAAAACTTGGCTCTTTTGTGATCCCTGCAAAACACAGCATATAAAAACAGCAGCCACCAAAGCAAAAAGTTACAAAGACAACTTTTAACAAAACCTATCGGGGGAGAATTGGAATTTAAAATTCAGTTGAGATTTATATCTTTATACACATACACAAAATAGCCTTCAGATTACAGGATAAAGATTAAGTACAGTGTTTCAGCATAAAATACTTAATTTGCTTAAACATTAAAAATTTGACCATAACCAAAAAATTAAAAATTGGGGTCACAATGTTCAAGTCATCCTAACAGTCACTAGCATTACAACGTGCAGGACCTGGCAGGCCAGGCAGTACGTGCTGCCTCATCCCTGATCACCTTCCCTGTGCTACTTAACAGAACAATGGCCCTGGTACTGTCAAAATTTGGAACTTTTCACAAAGCTTCTCTTTCACAAAGCAGACCAAGAAGAGAAAGGATGAGATGTCTTTATGCTGGATCTTAGTTCTACATCTGCCTCGATTTCCTGAGAATTAAAAAGAATGAGCCTTTTTAACAAAAGCTAAGATACAATTTCTCTATATTTCTATCCGGAAAGCAAATGTCCAAAAACTTAACCTTGTACCAAGGTAAGAGGAGCTCTGCAGAATGAGATACTGCCCTCATTCTGGGCCATTCTTTAAATAGAAAGAAGACCCATGCAGGGTGAGGAAGGAAGATTAAGACCAGAAGAGAAGGGAAAGGAAAGGAGACAGCACATCAGCACCAGGTAGACCCAGAGCCCCTTTGCCTCCATTGCGGATGTTTTGGTCATGGAACCCAAGCTTCCCGCTCTTTGACAAGGCTTCCCTAGACCACTGGTCTTCAAACTGGGTGTTCATGTCCGGGGGTGGGGTGGGGGGAGCGCACACAAAGGCATTCTAGGGGTGAGCAGAAACAGACAGCTTTCCCAGATCATCTCTGCACATGTGCCCCTGCCTGACATTGATCTTGCTGCCTGAGAGCTGGGCCTCCATCTGTAACTCCATTTCCCCCTCCCCTTTCATAATCTCCCTTTTCTTTTATAGAAGAAAGACACCTCTCAACCAGCCTGAAATTTACTCCAGTGCTTCACCCCAACATACAACTAAATCTCACAGGTGGGGGAACAAAGAGACAATTGAAGAAAGCATAACTCCTGGGGGAAAATACTTGATACCACAGCAGAGAAGGCAGGGAACAGAAGTAACAAAGGAACGGGGCCTCACACATCCAGCCCACACACCCCATCCACCTGTCTCAGTATTAAAACTCAGGTATAAGAGGGATGGCATATGATATGCACGCATGTGTGGAATTGATAAAGTTAGATTCTTTTCTAACATAAAATAATTATAATTTGGCTGTTTAGTTTGCCAGTGAAGGCTGGCTTTGCCAATTATATGATGAACATTTTCCATAAGTTGGATGAGCTAAATGAGTTCCAAAATTTTAAAAAAATACATGTAAAACATTTATACACAACAGTAATATACCAGAAATTATACCCTTCAGAATTAGTCACAAAAACTTATGATAAACATATTAAATATCAATTTAAAAACACGTGAGGTGGGTACAATTTTTAAAAATTCTTTTAGCAAAAAAACTCAAAGATGACTGCTTACACTTCTCTCTGCTCTTAACATAGAGCCTGGTTTTGGTAGAAAAGTGAATGAAGGGAAGATTCTCCAGTGGTCTGCCCTCGGCTCCCTGCACCAGCAAACCCCCAGGGGAACGTGGGGGAGGTTAAGAGAAATGTGCAGCCAGTCCTGGTAAACTGCTGGTGCTCCTTGCTAACATCTGACTTTCTTTCTGAACATCCTGGAGTTCTTGCCTTGTCCTCCACTTTCCTAAAATTCCTACTCACATTCCTCCCTAGACCGTGCCTTCCTTCATAATGTTCCATGCTACAAAGTGGCTTTGCTTTCATTATCCTCCGCTCAGATGCAGCTGATCTAAGCCAAAACATTATAGGGGCAACTACCTGATTTAACCAGTTCCCTGTAAGTCCTCAGGAGCCTGCTACACTTAAAGAGACTTATTTTGGACTCTTAATCTAATGGTGCCTCAAATTTATGGACTACCTAGTTGTCTGGAAAAAGAAGGTATCAGCAGAGCACCCTGCCAGTCTCTGACATTAGGCCCAAGAGAACAGTCCTGTGGTTCCACCCGTGCCAGCCCACAGTCCCCTTTGTTCTCCAAACCTCTCTCAACTCACTAACTTCCCTGGCTTGGCAACCCATTCATCATCTTTTCCTAGCTCCAAACATCTCACACTGGAGGGGCTAACATACCACTCCTCAAACACACATCGCCCTTGGGGCATCAAGCACTTATCTTTGAATATGCAAGAGGCCCTTAACAGGCAACATCTCATTTAATCCCTCCCTGCAATCCTATGCAAGTAAGCTTCCTAAAATCCCACTTAGCAAAATACTCTCAATTTGCCTGAGGTCACACACTATTGTGAATTCAAATCAGGTTTATTCATTCATTCAAAACTTGGTTTCGACAAGCAGCAAAGTGTTCCGAGGCCCTGTGTTAGGTACTAGGTAGGAACAAGGTGATGAGAGAGACAGAGTCTACTCTGAGAGATCTAATATTCTAAAGAAGGAGAAATAAACAGGCAGGTACAATGAAGTCAATCCATCTGCTTTCTCTTCTACTACATGCTGGGAAACTTTGGCCCAGGCCTTGACTTCCCAAAGATACAGAGAGGAGCTTGTGTGACGGCAAGAATATCCCAACCTCTGAAAGTCACACCGACTTGATTTCAAATCATGGTTCTGCCACTCACTAGCTGCAAACCTGGGACAAGCTACTTAATCTAAGCTTCCCTTCCTTAAGACCTTAGGAACACTCTTCCCAGATTTCTAGCAGCTTTCAGATCTCAGCTCAAATATCACCTCCTCAAAACAGACTTTCCTAATGCTATAAAGTTTTTTTTTCCTTCCAATTCATCCCTCCCCCCGTTATCCATCACACTTCCCTAAAATTTCTTATAAGAACCTGAAATCCCCTTGTTTATTTATTGAGTTACTTATTTACTGTTTCCTCTCCACAATTAAGGGACTTTGTCTGGTTCAGGGTTATATTCCCAGTAGACAGGAATGGTCCTGGCACACAGTAAACCCTCAATAAAATTTTTTTTAAATAAATGAACAAGTCAATGAGGCCTTCTGAAATTTTAACAAATCATTTTGTAAGTTTAGTCCAAGGTTTACTCAAGTGGCTATAACTTGAGTTCAACTTACCTAATTGATCTGATCTAAGTCCAGCCCATGGGTACTTTCGTCCCACAGAGGAATTACAGGACTCTGACAAGTAAGACTTTTTCCACAGAAAGTTCCTCTGGTATTCACTCAGCCCCTGTAATGAAAGTACATTTTGAGTCCAATGCAATTAATCAATGTTATTTTAAAGCAGACATTTTTAAAGAGAGTTGAAAATCATAAGATTGATAATTATACACAGACAAGCTCCTTAAGAGAGCTAATATTTACCCAACCCTATACTAAGCAGCTCACACACAGATCCTTTAATCCTCCCTACCACTGGAGGCAGATGCCACAGTAACCCGAATCCAGCTCCAGCCTCAGAGAGGCTATTCTTTCCTGGTTGTCTTGATTCCAGAGCTAATAAGCTCTTGTCTGATAACCAGTGACAAACTACATTCTCATCACTATAGATTTATCCTCCTCAAGTACACAATACTATGTATTATGCCTGGTAACTATTGATATTTTGGTCAACTTTACCAAAGACAAATTCCCCTCTCATTCTGGATTCAAACCTTAAATAGTCAGCTGTGGTCACCTGCTACGCTACAAGCTTCTGGCCTCAGACAGCTACCTGGAACTTTTAACAAACCCTAAAACAAATGCACGACTATGCAAAATGTGTATGTCTTATACCATCTTCACTAAGGACCCCATTTCTCAAGCCTTTAAAAGACACATAGGCCTTAAAATTTTAAAGGGAAGAGGGGGTTAAATGCTAACTAAATGGGTCACAGGTGTCCCAATCTGAAGTCGCTTTGGTTCCCACTATAGACGCCCTCGTCCCATCTCCACTCCTCGGAGTCCTCCCAGATGAACACGTCTGCGCCGAGAGGAGGCCGGGTGCAGCCACTTCCCCCGGCCGCGGCCTCAGGCTGCAGCTCCTGAGGGCCGAGGGCCGCGCAGAAGCCGGCGAGGCCCGCGCTCCCGCCCCGCCGCCCCCCAGACTCCTTCGGACCCGGGGATGCCTCACCTTGAAGCGCACCGGCATGTCGCCCGGCGCTGCAGCCCCCGCCACCCCGACAGTTAACCAGACAGGTAGCCCCGGAGGGGCGGGGCGACAACAGCCGGTTCCCTGGCAAAAGCCTCGGCCCGGCGTCCCAGACTACGCGCCGGCGCACTCCGCGCTCCCCGCCTTGAGCCCTGTAGTTCTCTCTATCCCCTCCCATTTTGAGCCTAAGGACCAATCGAAACTATCAAAGTCCCTTAGCGTCATTACAATCCAACCAATCAGTGCCCGAAAGGAAGGCTCCCACCTCCCATGCCAAATCGGAATTGCTAATACAGATGGCGGGCGAAAGGCTGGCCAATGGGGCTCCGGGAGCTGGGACGGACGTGGCCCGCGGGAGCTTCGTCCGCGAGAGCAGTGTCCCTGTGTACCAGGCTCCTGCGCGACAATAGATCTGCGTGGGGCTGGCTGGGTTTGCCCGCAGGCGTCGCACGGGGCCCAGGCGCCTGCTGTCGTGGAACGAACTTGAGACCTTCGTTCGGAAAGGTCGAACAGAGCCAATGTTTCTTTCCCTGCATTCAGATCGACTCTGCTGAATATCAGCTCCTACAACCCACAGCCACGTTGCACTATTTATTGTCACATCAAAAGGGTTAGGCCAAAATATAAACATAGTTTAGGCAATTTTTTAAAGAGTTACTGATTCTCTAAAGACATACTGCTGTCTTCTTCCAGTGACGTTCTTCCTCCCCCAGTGTCTTCCCTCTTCAAAAAGATGTATATACTGCGCTTAGGTTAGAAAACGTTTATTAAAAATGCTCATGAATCTTAGCTTCCAAACCTTCAGCCCTCATTTTTTAAAATAAAATTCCATCTGATTTTAAAAGAGTATTGTCATCATTGTCGATAAATATTTCTTGCAGAACAGTGTGCTGATGCTGAGAATAGGGAAAGAAAGAGATTGTCCGAAAAGTTCTCTGGAATACACTTGGGAAGGTTGTGCATCTATTTATTCCATAATGGTATAATGAGAGGTGTAAATAATAAGGGAGACAGGAGTTGGGAGCAGGGAGTCATCCCTGAGGGCAGAGATGATTAGAAAAAGCCTCAGGAGGAAATATTCAGACTCAGCCTTGGAGACTGAAGGACTCCAATAAGTGAGGAGGAAAATGGGATGATCAAAGGGCAGATGTCTGAATGGAAGGCTGCCAGGCTTCTTCCAGAAACAATGAATATAGAGCTTTTTTTTTACTTTTGTCTTTTGTTGACTGAATAAAAGTATACCTCTTTTAAGCTTTCAAATATTAACATCAGTCCTTGCTGCTTTCCTTGAAGTATTTTCTGCAAAGCCAAGTCTTCCTGAATCCTGACTGATGTGTCTGTTCTTCCTCATCATCACTGAGATACTTAAAAATTCATTTGAAGCAGCCACCTGATGTCTGAAACAAAGAGAATATTAAATTAGTCCCTATGCAGCCAGGCATCCAGGGGGCCCTTGATTCGTGTTAATTGGTGATGACTGCATCTCTGTGGTGTAAATTAGGGGAACGGCACAAACAAGACACAGTGGAACGTAAAACAAAACTTTGTGAAGGAAGGCAGCCCATCTCGTTAACACACAGTAGGAAAGACACAGTCTGGTCATACACATAGCTTCATTACCATGTATCAAAGGTGGAAGGTGGAAGGTGGATGTGGGAAAGCAGGCACAGAGAATGTCGCTCTAAGCAAGAGCAAGGCTAACTGCAGGAGGCCCCTTGCTGAACAGGGAGAGAAAGACAGGAAACCCAATATCAGATGGTAAAAAGAACTGAGGTACAGCCTGGTTTGCTAGAGATGTATCATATCACTCAAGAAGAATATTTTGCTTTGTGATTGATAAACAGAAGCCTGCCCTAGTTTATGAGGCAAAGATATAGAAATGACAGCCTCTGTACATGCATTGTGTAACCTGTGTCTACTAGCCCTTCCCTTCTCTGCTACTGCAGGGAACAGACCCGGTGTACTACAATATTCCCCCCAAGTGTTTGGGGGAATCCCGAGGCAGTGACTCACATGTGCTCCCAGCTGCCACACCTGGTGTACCCAGCAGCACTGCTGCTTGTTCCAGTAGTCACGCATCTATAGTATCCCTCCTGCTGCTGGTCAGCACAGCCACTTTAGCCTCGTACTGAGTCTCCCCTGGGCACAGTTCCTGGGCACAGCTACTCTTCAAACCACCCAAGCCTGGTGGCGACCCATGACCAAGCCTCACCGCTCTCCACTTTCATGTTGCCCTCTTGTGAGACCCAAGTGTATCAGAGAGCTCTCTTTTCATTTGTGCTTTTGCTTCCTTAACTCCAAAGGGCTCCAAGTGAAGTTCCTGGAGTCTGGGTCAGAAAGGAGTTCCTGGAGTGACAGATCTCATGCTGTGCTTCTCTCTTCCACTAGCCAAGCCCCTGTTACTGGACAAGGGCATCACACCAGCTCCTTCTTCCCTTTGCTCACTTCTTTGTTTCTCACACAAATAGATGTCTGTCTATTGCCTGGGAGAGACTAAATTTGTCCAACCGCTATGAAGGGCAACTTGGCAACCCTTTAGACTCAGCAGTTCCTCTTCTATAACTTTATCTTACAGGAAGACTCACATGTATGTGGAAAAAATATTTATTTCCAGGGATTCTTCTACTAAAATCTTAGAAGTACTCAAGGAATACAGCAGTGTCTCAGGTTACAAAATCAACACTCACAAATCTGTAGCCTTTATATATACCAACAGCAGCCAAGCCGAAAAAACAGTCAAGGACTCTATTCTGTTCACAGTAGTGCCAAAGAAGATGAAATATTTGGGAGTTTACCTAACAAAGGATGTGAAAGATCTCTATAAAGAGAACTATGAAACTCTAAGAAAAGAAATAGCTGAAAATGTTAACAAATGGAAAAACATACCATGCTCATGGCTGGGAAGAATCAACATTGTTAAAATGTCAATGCTACCCAAAGCAATATATAATTTTAATGCAATCCCCATTAAAGCTCCACTGTCATACATGTCTTTAAAGATGACAGAAAAAATAATACTTCATTTTATACACAATCAGAAAAAACCTCGAATAGCAAAGACATTACTCAGGAACAAAAACAAAGTAGGAGGAATTACGTTACCAGACCTCAGATTATACTATAAATCGGTAGTGATCAAAACAGCCTGGTACTGGCACAAAAACAGAGAAGTAGATGTATGGAACAGAATAGAGAGCCAAGAGAGGAATTCAGCTACCTACCGTTATCTGATCCTTGACAAGCCAATTAAAAATATTGAGTGGGGAAAAGATTCCCTATTTAACAAATGGTGCTGGGCTAACTGGATGGTGACCTGTAGAAGACTGAAACTGGACCCACACTTTTCACCATTAACTAAGATAGGCTCTCACTGGATTAAACATTTAAACTTAAGACATGAAACTATGAAAGTACTAGAAGGGTAGGGAAAACACTTGAAGAAATTGGCTTAGGCGAAAATTTTATGAGGAGGACCCCTCGGGCAATTGAAGCAATGTC